GCTCGCGCCGCTGCTCAGCAAGAGGCTGCCCGAAGACCCGGCAGCCGCGTTCCCGCTACTGAAGCTCAGCACGCCAGAACGACCGGCAGTGCCGCCCGTCGCCGTGCCCAGCGAAATGGACCCGCTCGTGCTGCCCACGCTGCGGCCGCTCAAGACACTCACCGAGCCGCCCGTGCCGCTCGTCGAAGACGACACCGCCGTCGAGTCGCCTGCCCACAGCGAGATGGCGCCACCGGACAACGCGTCTCCAGCGCCCACCGACAGCGAGATCGACCCGCCGTGGCCGCCCGTCGACACGCCCGTGCTCACGCTCACCGATCCGCTGTCGCCCTCGCGACTAGTACCGCTCGATAGACGCAGACTGCCGCTCACGCCACTGCTGCTCGCCGAGCTCGGAGTCGTCAGCGAGATGTCGCCGCTGGACGTCGTCAGGCCCGCGCCGCTCTGCAGCGAGATCGACCCGCCACTCGCCACGCCGCTGCCGCCGCTCAACGAAATCGAGCCGCCCACTGTGCCCGTGGTGGTATGCGTGTTGCCCGACCGCAGCGAGATAGACCCGCCAGCACCACTGCTGCCCGTGCCCACACTGAGCAGCACGGACCCGCCGTTGCCGCCGGTGCTGCCGCCAGTGCTCACCGTCACGTCGCCCACCGTGCCCGCCGTCGCAGAGCCCGTCTCCAGGCGCACCAACCCAGACGGACCGCTCGAGCTGCCGTCCGGTGTGCGCACCAGCACGCTGCCACTCGTGAAGCTGCTGCTCGCGCCGCTAGATATCTCCACAGCGCCGCCCACACCACTGCTCGCGGTGCCAGCAACGCCGCCACTCGTACTGCCAGCAGTCAGCGACACCTTGCCACCCGCTCCGGTGTTGCCACCACCCACGGACAGCTCGATGTTGCCTCCCCTGCCGCCAGTCGCCGCACCCGTCGACACACGAACCGACCCGCTCGACGACGACGAGGACGCGCCGCTCGCCACAGACAAAGCCCCGCTCGCGCCGGACGTAGCACTCCACAGCGACACGCCACCGCTTGGAGAGCTCGTCCCTGCCGAAGCACCGCTGATCACGCTGATGGATCCGCCTGTCAGCGCGCCTTGGCCGCCGAACAGCTCGACCGAGCCGCCGCTGGAGCCTGTCGTACTGGCCGAGCTCAGGCCGGCCGTGAGCGACACCTTGCCGCCGTTGCCGACCGAGCCGTCGCCCACGCTCACCACCACAGACCCGCCGCTGCCGCCCGTGCTCGCGCCGCTGCTCAGCAAGAGGCTGCCCGAAGACCCGGCAGCCGCGTTCCCGCTACTGAAGCTCAGCACGCCAGAACGACCGGCAGTGCCGCCCGTCGCCGTGCCCAGCGAAATGGACCCGCTCGTGCTGCCCACGCTGCGGCCGCTCAAGACACTCACCGAGCCGCCCGTGCCGCTCGTCGAAGACGACACCGCCGTCGAGTCGCCTGCCCACAGCGAGATGGCACCACCGGACAACGCGTCTCCAGCGCCCACCGACAGCGAGATCGACCCGCCGTGGCCGCCCGTCGACACGCCCGTGCTCACGCTCACCGATCCGCTGTCGCCCTCGCGACTAGTACCGCTCGATAGACGCAGACTGCCGCTCACGCCGCTGCTGCTCGCCGAGCTCGGAGTCGTCAGCGAGATGTCGCCGCTGGACGTCGTCAGGCCCGCGCCGCTCTGCAGCGAGATCGACCCGCCACTCGCCACGCCGCTGCCGCCGCTCAACGAAATCGAGCCGCCCACTGTGCCCGTGGTGGTATGCGTGTTGCCCGACCGCAGCGAGATAGACCCGCCAGCACCACTGCTGCCCGTGCCCACACTGAGCAGCACGGACCCGCCGTTGCCGCCGGTGCTGCCGCCAGTGCTCACCGTCACGTCGCCCACCGTGCCCGCCGTCGCAGAGCCCGTCTCCAGGCGCACCAACCCAGACGGACCGCTCGAGCTGCCGTCCGGTGTGCGCACCAGCACGCTGCCACTCGTGAAGCTGCTGCTCGCGCCGCTAGATATCTCCACAGCGCCACCCACACCACTGCTCGCGGTGCCAGCAACGCCGCCACTCGTACTGCCAGCAGTCAGCGACACCTTGCCACCCGCTCCGGTGTTGCCACCACCCACGGACAGCTCGATGTTGCCTCCCCTGCCGCCAGTCGCCGCACCCGTCGACACACGAACCGACCCGCTCGACGACGACGAGGACGCGCCGCTCGCCACAGACAAAGCCCCGCTCGCGCCGGACGTAGCACTCCACAGCGACACGTCACCGCTCGGAGAGCTCGTCCCTGCCGAAGCACCGCTGATCACGCTGATGGATCCGCCTGTCAGCGCGCCTTGGCCGCCGAACAGCTCGACCGAGCCGCCGCTGGAGCCTGTCGTACTGGCCGAGCTCAGGCCGGCCGTGAGCGACACCTTGCCGCCGTTGCCGACCGAGCCGTCGCCCACGCTCACCACCACAGACCCGCCGCTGCCGCCCGTGCTCGCGCCGCTGCTCAGCAAGAGGCTGCCCGAAGACCCGGCAGCCGCGTTCCCGCTACTGAAGCTCAGCACGCCAGAACGACCGGCAGTGCCGCCCGTCGCCGTGCCCAGCGAAATGGACCCGCTCGTGCTGCCCACGCTGCGGCCGCTCAAGACACTCACCGAGCCGCCCGTGCCGCTCGTCGAAGACGACACCGCCGTCGAGTCGCCTGCCCACAGCGAGATGGCGCCACCGGACAACGCGTCTCCAGCGCCCACCGACAGCGAGATCGACCCGCCGTGGCCGCCCGTCGACACGCCCGTGCTCACGCTCACCGATCCGCTGTCGCCCTCGCGACTAGTACCGCTCGATAGACGCAGACTGCCGCTCACGCCACTGCTGCTCGCCGAGCTCGGAGTCGTCAGCGAGATGTCGCCGCTGGACGTCGTCAGGCCCGCGCCGCTCTGCAGCGAGATCGACCCGCCACTCGCCACGCCGCTGCCGCCGCTCAACGAAATCGAGCCGCCCACTGTGCCCGTGGTGGTATGCGTGTTGCCCGACCGCAGCGAGATAGACCCGCCAGCACCACTGCTGCCCGTGCCCACACTGAGCAGCACGGACCCGCCGTTGCCGCCGGTGCTGCCGCCAGTGCTCACCGTCACGTCGCCCACCGTGCCCGCCGTCGCAGAGCCCGTCTCCAGGCGCACCAACCCAGACGGACCGCTCGAGCTGCCGTCCGGTGTGCGCACCAGCACGCTGCCACTCGTGAAGCTGCTGCTCGCGCCGCTAGATATCTCCACAGCGCCGCCCACACCACTGCTCGCGGTGCCAGCAACGCCGCCACTCGTACTGCCAGCAGTCAGCGACACCTTGCCACCCGCTCCGGTGTTGCCACCACCCACGGACAGCTCGATGTTGCCTCCCCTGCCGCCAGTCGCCGCACCCGTCGACACACGAACCGACCCGCTCGACGACGACGAGGACGCGCCGCTCGCCACAGACAAAGCCCCGCTTGCGCCGGACGTAGCACTCCACAACGACACGTCACCGCTCGGAGAGCTCGTCCCTGCCGAAGCACCGCTGATCACGCTGATGGATCCGCCCGTCAGCGCGCCTTGGCCGCCGAACAGCTCGACCGAGCCGCCGCTGGAGCCTGTCGTACTGGCCGAGCTCAGGCCGGCCGTGAGCGACACCTTGCCGCCGTTGCCGACCGAGCCGTCGCCCACGCTCACCACCACAGACCCGCCACTGCCGCCCGTGCTCGCGCCGCTGCTCAGCAAGAGGCTGCCCGAAGACCCGGCAGCCGCGTTCCCGCTACTGAAGCTCAGCACGCCAGAACGACCGGCAGTGCCGCCCGTCGCCGTGCCCAGCGAAATGGACCCGCTCGTGCTGCCCACGCTGCGGCCGCTCAAGACACTCACCGAGCCGCCCGTGCCGCTCGTCGAAGACGACACCGCCGTCGAGTCGCCTGCCCACAGCGAGATGGCGCCACCGGACAACGCGTCTCCAGCGCCCACCGACAGCGAGATCGACCCGCCGTGGCCGCCCGTCGACACGCCCGTGCTCACGCTCACCGATCCGCTGTCGCCCTCGCGACTAGTACCGCTCGATAGACGCAGACTGCCGCTCACGCCGCTGCTGCTCGCCGAGCTCGGAGTCGTCAGCGAGATGTCGCCGCTGGACGTCGTCAGGCCCGCGCCGCTCTGCAGCGAGATCGACCCGCCACTCGCCACGCCGCTGCCGCCGCTCAACGAAATCGAGCCGCCCACTGTGCCCGTGGTGGTATGCGTGTTGCCCGACCGCAGCGAGATAGACCCGCCAGCACCACTGCTGCCCGTGCCCACACTGAGCAGCACGGACCCGCCGTTGCCGCCGGTGCTGCCGCCAGTGCTCACCGTCACGTCGCCCACCGTGCCCGCCGTCGCAGAGCCCGTCTCCAGGCGCACCAACCCAGACGGACCGCTCGAGCTGCCGTCCGGTGTGCGCACCAGCACGCTGCCACTCGTGAAGCTGCTGCTCGCGCCGCTAGATATCTCCACAGCGCCGCCCACACCACTGCTCGCGGTGCCAGCAACGCCGCCACTCGTACTGCCAGCAGTCAGCGACACCTTGCCACCCGCTCCGGTGTTGCCACCACCCACAGACAGCTCGATGTTGCCTCCCCTGCCGCCAGTCGCCGCACCCGTCGACACACGAACCGACCCGCTCGACGACGACGAGGACGCGCCGCTCGCCACAGACAAAGCCCCACTCGTCGACGACGAGGACGCGCCGCTCGCCACAGACAAAGCCCCGCTCGCGCCGGACGTAGCACTCCACAGCGACACGTCACCGCTCGGAGAGCTCGTCCCTGCCGAAGCACCGCTGATCACGCTGATGGATCCGCCTGTCAGCGCGCCTTGGCCGCCGAACAGCTCGACCGAGCCGCCGCTGGAGCCTGTCGTACTGGCCGAGCTCAGGCCGGCCGTGAGCGACACCTTGCCGCCGTTGCCGACCGAGCCGTCGCCCACGCTCACCACTACAGACCCGCCGCTGCCGCCCGTGCTCGCGCCGCTGCTCAGCAAGAGGCTGCCCGAAGACCCGGCAGCCGCGTTCCCGCTACTGAAGCTCAGCACGCCAGAACGACCGGCAGTGCCGCCCGTCGCCGTGCCCAGCGAAATGGACCCGCTCGTGCTGCCCACGCTGCGGCCGCTCAAGACACTCACCGAGCCGCCCGTGCCGCTCGTCGAAGACGACACCGCCGTCGAGTCGCCTGCCCACAGCGAGATGGCGCCACCGGACAACGCGTCTCCAGCGCCCACCGACAGCGAGATCGACCCGCCGTGGCCGCCCGTCGACACGCCCGTGCTCACGCTCACCGATCCGCTGTCGCCCTCGCGACTAGTACCGCTCGATAGACGCAGACTGCCGCTCACGCCGCTGCTGCTCGCCGAGCTCGGAGTCGTCAGCGAGATGTCGCCGCTGGACGTCGTCAGGCCCGCGCCGCTCTGCAGCGAGATCGACCCGCCACTCGCCACGCCGCTGCCGCCGCTCAACGAAATCGAGCCGCCCACTGTGCCCGTGGTGGTATGCGTGTTGCCCGACCGCAGCGAGATAGACCCGCCAGCACCACTGCTGCCCGTGCCCACACTGAGCAGCACGGACCCGCCGTTGCCGCCGGTGCTGCCGCCAGTGCTCACCGTCACGTCGCCCACCGTGCCCGCCGTCGCAGAGCCCGTCTCCAGGCGCACCAACCCAGACGGACCGCTCGAGCTGCCGTCCGGTGTGCGCACCAGCACGCTGCCACTCGTGAAGCTGCTGCTCGCGCCGCTAGATATCTCCACAGCGCCGCCCACACCACTGCTCGCGGTGCCAGCAACGCCGCCACTCGTACTGCCAGCAGTCAGCGACACCTTGCCACCCGCTCCGGTGTTGCCACCACCCACGGACAGCTCGATGTTGCCTCCCCTGCCGCCAGTCGCCGCACCCGTCGACACACGAACCGACCCGCTCGACGACGACGAGGACGCGCCGCTCGCCACAGACAAAGCCCCGCTCGCGCCGGACGTAGCACTCCACAGCGACACGTCACCGCTCGGAGAGCTCGTCCCTGCCGAAGCACCGCTGATCACGCTGATGGATCCGCCCGTCAGCGCGCCTTGGCCGCCGAACAGCTCGACCGAGCCGCCGCTGGAGCCTGTCGTACTGGCCGAGCTCAGGCCGGCCGTGAGCGACACCTTGCCACCGTTGCCGACCGAGCCGTCGCCCACGCTCACCACCACAGACCCGCCGCTGCCGCCCGTGCTCGCGCCGCTGCTCAGCAAGAGGCTGCCCGAAGACCCGGCAGCCGCGTTCCCGCTACTGAAGCTCAGCACGCCAGAACGACCGGCAGTGCCGCCCGTCGCCGTGCCCAGCGAAATGGACCCGCTCGTGCTGCCCACGCTGCGGCCGCTCAAGACACTCACCGAGCCGCCCGTGCCGCTCGTCGAAGACGACACCGCCGTCGAGTCGCCTGCCCACAGCGAGATGGCGCCACCGGACAACGCGTCTCCAGCGCCCACCGACAGCGAGATCGACCCGCCGTGGCCGCCCGTCGACACGCCCGTGCTCACGCTCACCGATCCGCTGTCGCCCTCGCGACTAGTACCGCTCGATAGACGCAGACTTCCGCTCACGCCGCTGCTGCTCGCCGAGCTCGGAGTCGTCAGCGAGATGTCGCCGCTGGACGTCGTCAGGCCCGCGCCGCTCTGCAGCGAGATCGACCCGCCACTCGCCACGCCGCTGCCGCCGCTCAACGAAATCGAGCCGCCCACTGTGCCCGTGGTGGTATGCGTGTTGCCCGACCGCAGCGAGATAGACCCGCCAGCACCACTGCTGCCCGTGCCCACACTGAGCAGCACGGACCCGCCGTTGCCGCCGGTGCTGCCGCCAGTGCTCACCGTCACGTCGCCCACCGTGCCCGCCGTCGCAGAGCCCGTCTCCAGGCGCACCAACCCAGACGGACCGCTCGAGCTGCCGTCCGGTGTGCGCACCAGCACGCTGCCACTCGTGAAGCTGCTGCTCGCGCCGCTAGATATCTCCACAGCGCCGCCCACACCACTGCTCGCGGTGCCAGCAACGCCGCCACTCGTACTGCCAGCAGTCAGCGACACCTTGCCACCCGCTCCGGTGTTGCCACCACCCACGGACAGCTCGATGTTGCCTCCCCTGCCGCCAGTCGCCGCACCCGTCGACACACGAACCGACCCGCTCGACGACGACGAGGACGCGCCGCTCGCCACAGACAAAGCCCCGCTCGCGCCGGACGTAGCACTCCACAGCGACACGTCACCGCTCGGAGAGCTCGTCCCTGCCGAAGCACCGCTGATCACGCTGATGGATCCGCCTGTCAGCGCGCCTTGGCCGCCGAACAGCTCGACCGAGCCGCCGCTGGAGCCTGTCGTACTGGCCGAGCTCAGGCCGGCCGTGAGCGACACCTTGCCGCCGTTGCCGACCGAGCCGTCGCCCACGCTCACCACTACAGACCCGCCGCTGCCGCCCGTGCTCGCGCCGCTGCTCAGCAAGAGGCTGCCCGAAGACCCGGCAGCCGCGTTCCCGCTACTGAAGCTCAGCACGCCAGAACGACCGGCAGTGCCGCCCGTCGCCGTGCCCAGCGAAATGGACCCGCTCGTGCTGCCCACGCTGCGGCCGCTCAAGACACTCACCGAGCCGCCCGTGCCGCTCGTCGAAGACGACACCGCCGTCGAGTCGCCTGCCCACAGCGAGATGGCGCCACCGGACAACGCGTCTCCAGCGCCCACCGACAGCGAGATCGACCCGCCGTGGCCGCCCGTCGACACGCCCGTGCTCACGCTCACCGATCCGCTGTCGCCCTCGCGACTAGTACCGCTCGATAGACGCAGACTGCCGCTCACGCCGCTGCTGCTCGCCGAGCTCGGAGTCGTCAGCGAGATGTCGCCGCTGGACGTCGTCAGGCCCGCGCCGCTCTGCAGCGAGATCGACCCGCCACTCGCCACGCCGCTGCCGCCGCTCAACGAAATCGAGCCGCCCACTGTGCCCGTGGTGGTATGCGTGTTGCCCGACCGCAGCGAGATAGACCCGCCAGCACCACTGCTGCCCGTGCCCACACTGAGCAGCACGGACGCGCCGTTGCCGCCGGTGCTGCCGCCAGTGCTCACCGTCACGTCGCCCACCGTGCCCGCCGGCGCAGAGCCCGTCTCCAGGCGCACCAACCCAGACGGACCGCTCGAGCTGCCGTCCGGTGTGCGCACCAGCACGCTGCCACTCGTGAAGCTGCTGCTCGCGCCGCTAGATATCTCCACAGCGCCGCCCACACCACTGCTCGCGGTGCCAGCAACGCCGCCACTCGTACTGCCAGCAGTCAGCGACACCTTGCCACCCGCTCCGGTGTTGCCACCACCCACGGACAGCTCGATGTTGCCTCCCCTGCCGCCAGTCGCCGCACCCGTCGACACACGAACCGACCCGCTCGACGACGACGAGGACGCGCCGCTCGCCACAGACAAAGCCCCGCTCGCGCCGGACGTAGCACTCCACAGCGACACGTCACCGCTCGGAGAGCTCGTCCCTGCCGAAGCACCGCTGATCACGCTGATGGATCCGCCCGTCAGCGCGCCTTGGCCGCCGAACAGCTCGACCGAGCCGCCGCTGGAGCCTGTCGTACTGGCCGAGCTCAGGCCGGCCGTGAGCGACACCTTGCCGCCGTTACCGACCGAGCCGTCGCCCACGCTCACCACCACAGACCCGCCGCTGCCGCCCGTGCTCGCGCCGCTGCTCAGCAAGAGGCTGCCCGAAGACCCGGCAGCCGCGTTCCCGCTACTGAAGCTCAGCACGCCAGAACGACCGGCAGTGCCGCCCGTCGCCGTGCCCAGCGAAATGGACCCGCTCGTGCTGCCCACGCTGCGGCCGCTCAAGACACTCACCGAGCCGCCCGTGCCGCTCGTCGAAGACGACACCGCCGTCGAGTCGCCTGCCCACAGCGAGATGGCGCCACCGGACAACGCGTCTCCAGCGCCCACCGACAGCGAGATCGACCCGCCGTGGCCGCCCGTCGACACGCCCGTGCTCACGCTCACCGATCCGCTGTCGCCCTCGCGACTAGTACCGCTCGATAGACGCAGACTGCCGCTCACGCCGCTGCTGCTCGCCGAGCTCGGAGTCGTCAGCGAGATGTCGCCGCTGGACGTCGTCAGGCCCGCGCCGCTCTGCAGCGAGATCGACCCGCCACTCGCCACGCCGCTGCCGCCGCTCAACGAAATCGAGCCGCCCACTGTGCCCGTGGTGGTATGCGTGTTGCCCGACCGCAGCGAGATAGACCCGCCAGCACCACTGCTGCCCGTGCCCACACTGAGCAGCACGGACCCGCCGTTGCCGCCGGTGCTGCCGCCAGTGCTCACCGTCACGTCGCCCACCGTGCCCGCCGTCGCAGAGCCCGTCTCCAGGCGCACCAACCCAGACGGACCGCTCGAGCTGCCGTCCGGTGTGCGCACCAGCACGCTGCCACTCGTGAAGCTGCTGCTCGCGCCGCTAGATATCTCCACAGCGCCGCCCACACCACTGCTCGCGGTGCCAGCAACGCCGCCACTCGTACTGCCAGCAGTCAGCGACACCTTGCCACCCGCTCCGGTGTTGCCACCACCCACAGACAGCTCGATGTTGCCTCCCCTGCCGCCAGTCGCCGCACCCGTCGACACACGAACCGACCCGCTCGACGACGACGAGGACGCGCCGCTCGCCACAGACAAAGCCCCACTCGTCGACGACGAGGACGCGCCGCTCGCCACAGACAAAGCCCCGCTCGCGCCGGACGTAGCACTCCACAGCGACACGTCACCGCTCGGAGAGCTCGTCCCTGCCGAAGCACCGCTGATCACGCTGATGGATCCGCCTGTCAGCGCGCCTTGGCCGCCGAACAGCTCGACCGAGCCGCCGCTGGAGCCTGTCGTACTGGCCGAGCTCAGGCCGGCCGTGAGCGACACCTTGCCGCCGTTGCCGACCGAGCCGTCGCCCACGCTCACCACTACAGACCCGCCGCTGCCGCCCGTGCTCGCGCCGCTGCTCAGCAAGAGGCTGCCCGAAGACCCGGCAGCCGCGTTCCCGCTACTGAAGCTCAGCACGCCAGAACGACCGGCAGTGCCGCCCGTCGCCGTGCCCAGCGAAATGGACCCGCTCGTGCTGCCCACGCTGCGGCCGCTCAAGACACTCACCGAGCCGCCCGTGCCGCTCGTCGAAGACGACACCGCCGTCGAGTCGCCTGCCCACAGCGAGATGGCGCCACCGGACAACGCGTCTCCAGCGCCCACCGACAGCGAGATCGACCCGCCGTGGCCGCCCGTCGACACGCCCGTGCTCACGCTCACCGATCCGCTGTCGCCCTCGCGACTAGTACCGCTCGATAGACGCAGACTGCCGCTCACGCCGCTGCTGCTCGCCGAGCTCGGAGTCGTCAGCGAGATGTCGCCGCTGGACGTCGTCAGGCCCGCGCCGCTCTGCAGCGAGATCGACCCGCCACTCGCCACGCCGCTGCCGCCGCTCAACGAAATCGAGCCGCCCACTGTGCCCGTGGTGGTATGCGTGTTGCCCGACCGCAGCGAGATAGACCCGCCAGCACCACTGCTGCCCGTGCCCACACTGAGCAGCACGGACCCGCCGTTGCCGCCGGTGCTGCCGCCAGTGCTCACCGTCACGTCGCCCACCGTGCCCGCCGTCGCAGAGCCCGTCTCCAGGCGCACCAACCCAGACGGACCGCTCGAGCTGCCGTCCGGTGTGCGCACCAGCACGCTGCCACTCGTGAAGCTGCTGCTCGCGCCGCTAGATATCTCCACAGCGCCGCCCACACCACTGCTCGCGGTGCCAGCAACGCCGCCACTCGTACTGCCAGCAGTCAGCGACACCTTGCCACCCGCTCCGGTGTTGCCACCACCCACGGACAGCTCGATGTTGCCTCCCCTGCCGCCAGTCGCCGCACCCGTCGACACACGAACCGACCCGCTCGACGACGACGAGGACGCGCCGCTCGCCACAGACAAAGCCCCGCTCGCGCCGGACGTAGCACTCCACAGCGACACGTCACCGCTCGGAGAGCTCGTCCCTGCCGAAGCACCGCTGATCACGCTGATGGATCCGCCTGTCAGCGCGCCTTGGCCGCCGAACAGCTCGACCGAGCCGCCGCTGGAGCCTGTCGTACTGGCCGAGCTCAGGCCGGCCGTGAGCGACACCTTGCCGCCGTTGCCGACCGAGCCGTCGCCCACGCTCACCACCACAGACCCGCCGCTGCCGCCCGTGCTCGCGCCGCTGCTCAGCAAGAGGCTGCCCGAAGACCCGGCAGCCGCGTTCCCGCTACTGAAGCTCAGCACGCCAGAACGACCGGCAGTGCCGCCCGTCGCCGTGCCCAGCGAAATGGACCCGCTCGTGCTGCCCACGCTGCGGCCGCTCAAGACACTCACCGAGCCGCCCGTGCCGCTCGTCGAAGACGACACCGCCGTCGAGTCGCCTGCCCACAGCGAGATGGCGCCACCGGACAACGCGTCTCCAGCGCCCACCGACAGCGAGATCGACCCGCCGTGGCCGCCCGTCGACACGCCCGTGCTCACGCTCACCGATCCGCTGTCGCCCTCGCGACTAGTACCGCTCGATAGACGCAGACTGCCGCTCACGCCGCTGCTGCTCGCCGAGCTCGGAGTCGTCAGCGAGATGTCGCCGCTGGACGTCGTCAGGCCCGCGCCGCTCTGCAGCGAGATCGACCCGCCACTCGCCACGCCGCTGCCGCCGCTCAACGAAATCGAGCCGCC